CCCACAGACTGGTGGAACGCAGACTTACCCTGTCTTCAATGGGAGTATTTGGATGCAATTTTAAAGTTGTTTTAATTGCGTGATTTGTGTGGATGAGTAGATGCATGGATGCATGTTTTGAGAAGTACAGAGAAACGGTCTGTGTGTGCGTGCGGATGTATCTTGCATCATTGAAATTGACCAAAATTCCTTATGCATACTAACACATTGCGCATTACTAGCATTAGCTCAAATTATCTTTACTATGTGTGGATGCATCATGTAATGTTATAAGTAAAATATATGTACGTATGAACAGGTGAAATGATTGGTTTTAGAGATGTTTTAACTGACGCATGTATGAACTGTTTATATAATAAGTAAATTAGCTTTTCTTATCCGCAAATGAAATTATTTTTGTTGTATAAAAATAAACTTGAAAATTGAGATTAAAAGTTGAGATTGTGTGTATGCATGTGCAAAAGTATTTGCGATATTAAAATTTAATAGACTTCTCTGTGCGTATGCGTGGAAGTGTTTTGAATTGGATACACTGGTTAAAAGTACATGTATGTAAGCATATTTGCTTGTACTGGGCGTGATAGAAGTTGACTAAAATCATACGTACAACGCATGTGTAGCATCCCGAGACTTCTCTGAAGAGGAGGGAAGGCACAATTCTCGGGCAGAATATATATATTCAGCACAGAGGACGTGTCTGGGCTACTGGCATGGCCCGAAGGCCAGCCCACCCAGCGAGGTACAGGAAGGCTTACTCGAAGTACAAAAGTGGCGCCTCCCCACAACCGAGGGATCAACCACCATCGCATTGCATATATATAGTGGGCATTTGAAGTGGTTAAGTGTTCATGAATGCATGGGCGGAATCTTGGTGCACGTTCAAAGTCGCCTAAAATAATGTGTATTCTTGTGTTGATGCATTGTGTAAGTTGAATTGATTAGAATTGTATGTATGGAAAACTGCAAACTCGTTTTTGTACACTTGCATCCCCATATGCGTATATGCATACATATATTCATAATTAAACAAGCAAGCACTGGCGGGTGTATATGCAACAATGGAAGTGGCATCATTTCCCCTCATTCCTATTTGTAAAGCATCTTGACAATACAATTGCAACCTTAGACGTGTAAAATGATCCCTCAACACCTTCAACCATAATATGCCCAACATCGGCACCCGTTACATGCATTCCTGCATAGCCTATTAATGCAAATGCCACTTCCGCGTTCATACACTTTTCATATCTTACGATGCGTTTCAATGTTTACCAAATATTTTAAACAATGTTACTACTACGTATGACATCTTCGCTTTTATCCAGGTTAACAATGCATGTTTCACTGGCAGAGTTGAATAGCCGCGTTTGGGCATCCATTTCGATACAATTGCACTGATCCGAATGTGTGTTTGTGTTTCCGACTTTTTTTTTCTCTAAAACAATGCTGCTGGTAGTAAATGCATCCACAGTTAAACACGCACTTTTACCAAATTGTTTAAGCGCACAACATACTGCCCTTATTCACATC